ATTATAAAGTGCTTAAATAAAGTTTATATTTAAAGTATAAAGAAAAAAGTTTATTTTCTATTTATATTTATATTAAAGCTTATTTTTATAAGGTTAAAGTTTATTAATTAATTATAATAAATAAAGCTTAAATTATAATATATCTTTTTTTTAAATTTTTATAATAAGCCTTAAAAAATAATTATATAATAAAAATAAAAAAATATTATAATTTAATTATAAATTAAAAATTGCTTTTTATTTAATTATTTAATTATATCTTAATATTTTTTAAATATATTAAAGGCTTAATTTATTTTTTATAATTAATTTATTTTAATTAATATATTAAATTATAAGAAATAATTATTTAAATATAAATTAATAATTAAATTAATAATATTTTTATAATTTTTTAATTCAAATTTTTTATATAAACTTTTTTATTTAAAATTATAAAATTATAAATTTATTATATAATTTATAATTAATTAATGCTTAATTATAAATAATTTATTTTATTAATAAAGGATTTTTAAATTTTAAGTATTTTATAATATTAAATTAATTAATACATAATTAACTTATTTTAAGCTTAAATTAATATTAAATTAATAATATTTTAAGCTTTATTTTATAAAAAAATTTATACCCCCTTAAATAAACTTCTTTTTTTATTAACCTTAATTAATAAAAGCTATATCTTTATTTTTTTATAATAATTAAAATAATTATACTTATAATAATTAAATTAATTATATATAAAATACTTAATTTTACTTATTAAAACCGTTATAATATTAATATTTATTACTTTATTATTTTAAAATTAAATATTATTCTTCCTTATTATAATATTAAAAACACCTTTATATTATTATAAAATAAAGTAAAAAGCCTTAAAAGTATTTAATTATTTTTTATAATTAAGCTAAGCTTTTATTATAAAGATTAAATTATTAAATATTAATAATATTTTATATTTATTTCGTTAACTTTTAATTTTTATTATATAAATTAATTAATTAAATTAAATAAAAAATTTTATTATTTTTTTTATAATATTATTATAATATAATTAAGCTAAGCTTAATATATCTTTACTTAAAAAGATCTTTAAACATAAAGCAAACTTTCTTTAAAAAGCTTTTTAATTATTTCTTAAATATTTTTATAAAATTAATGTAAAGTAAAATTTAATTATAAAAAGTTTTTACTTAATTAAATATATAAAAGAATTAAGCTTTTTTAATATTAATTATTTCTTTATTTATAATAAACTTAATCCTTATTTTTATTAATTAAGTTATTAAATATTTTTAAGATAAAAGTTTTTTAAAATAAAATAAAGCTTAATAAATTATTATTAATTTTTTTTAAATTTTATTATATTAAGTTTTATATAATTATATTATAAGTTTATAATATAAGAAAACTTTAAATATATATTATAAGCTAGCTTTAAATTATTTATTATAAAGTATTTAAATATGGTTTATATTTAAAGTATAAAGAAAAAAGTTTGCTTTTTATTTATATTTATATTAAAGCTTAATTTTATAAAGCTAAAGCTTATTAATTAATTATAATAAGTAAAGCTTAAATTATAATATTTTTTTATAATTTATATAATTTTTTATTTTTTATATAAATACTTAATTAGGCTTAATATAATTAAAGAAAAATACCTTATAATTAGCTTAATAATATTTTAATAATTATATAAAAATATAAGATTTTTAAGATTTAATAAATTATTAATAATTATAACTTAATAAATATTTTTATAAAAAATATATTAAATAAAACTTTTAAATAATTTATAAATATAAATAAAATTATAATTAAAATATAAAGTTATATTAATTAAAAGTAATTATTTATTTAAATAAAAAGAAAATATAATAAGTTAATTAAGTTTTTATAATTATTAATAAAAATATATTAAATAATAAAAATTTAATTTTTTTTATTAATTATTTATAAATTATTTTATAAAATAATATAATTAATTAATTTTTAATTAAATTTTTTTTTAAAAATAATATTTTATATTTAAAATTTTAATAATAATATTTATATATTAAGAATTTTATTTTTAAAAATAATAATATAAGTTATTTTCTTTATAAATATTTAAGTTATTAGCTTATATTTAATAAACATTTTTAATTAAATTTTATAATTTAATATTTATATATTAATTTTATATATATTTTTATTAATTAACTTAATTAATATTAAATAATTTCTTAATAATCCATTATATTTAACTTTTCTTTTTTATTTAAATACTTTATTTATTAACCTTTATAACTTATTTTATTTATTTATTTTTATAATTAATTAATTTTTATTTAATTATAAAAATTAAATTAAATTAAGATATATTATAAATTAAAAATTTAAATAATAATATTATTAATTTAAGAATTTAATTTAATCTTTATTTAATTTAAACATTATAAATAATAAAAATATAAATTTATAAAATATATTATAAATAAAATATTTATATAATAATTATAATAGTTTATGCTTTATAAATTAATATAATTAAATTATTTTAATATATATTTATATTAAAAAAACTTATAATTATTAATTACGTATTATAATAAAATAATTAACGTTTAACCCTTTAATAATAACTTAAGTTTTTTTATATATTTATTTTTTATGAATACTTAATATAATTAAATAAATATTTAACTTTAATTAATTTAATTAATTAATACTTTTAACTTAATAACTTTAAATTTAATTTAACTTTTTTTATATATTTTTTTAAAGATATATATTAATTATTTAATTAGAAATTATTAATATAATTATAAATATATTATAAAAGCATAATAATATTAAATATAATAAGTATTATAAGTAATTAACATTAAAATATTAATAAGTAAAAATTATATATAATAATATATAATTATTTTTAAATAATTTATAATTAAAGAAAGGTTTTGCAACTTATAATTATAACCCTTTTTCTTTTTATATAATTAATTTAAATATAATTAATTTATTATTAATTAATATATATTAACTTAATTAATATAAACTTTAAACTTAGTTCTATTTTTAATTATTTTTATAATTTTATAAATCCTTTTATTATAAATAATTAAGTTAATAGAAAATAAATAAATAATTAAGTTAAAAATAAAAAAAAGAGTTTTTTTTTTACCCTTTATATTAAAAGTTAATATTATATTATAATATATTAAAAATAATTATTTATTAATAATATATAAGTTATATAAGATATATATAAAAAAGCACGTTAAAACCTTAGTTGCATATTATTATTATATTATTATTCCATTTGATATATTAATGCGATATTAATTTAAAAAAAACCTCCCCCTGGTAGGTGTGTCTGCAAGTCCATTTGAATTGAATAGCGAGTGCAAGGAAGATCAGAAATATGTAGCACAACATTGGCCCTGCCCTGTCAAAATTTGGTTGAAGAAAGTAATTTCATACATGGAAGCACTTTTCTTATACCTTGTCACGTTGAACAATTATTGAAAGCTGAAATAGCTCGTTATCTGACAAGTGAGAGGGCTGGGAAACGTGTAGTTTGAAGAACTTCTACTAGCAGAGAATTCGGTTATGAAGCAAGGGACAACGGCCGATAAATTTCCTAGATGTGTCGTTGTGTAGTTGGATCTGTGTTCTGAGATGCCTGTGCTGGTCAAATGTGGTGAATCAAACGAAGAGAGGCCATGAGTCGGAAGTGCATGATTCATAACTCATCACTACAAGGCACATGTATGTATGCATTATGCCTTTCAGACTATTTCTTGGTAAATGAGGGACGTGTCCTACTGGGCCACTGATCCAATATCTTTTCCTAAATGTCATGACGGGTGACTCCGCTGGCAAGGAACATGGACGGCTACACGTGATAGATCGAGGCGCGTTATCGGATAATTCCAGACTGAATGAAGGAGGTATGCTCATCTATAGTAATATCAGGTAGGTCCTGCAATCGTACAAATGTAGCTTTCAGATATCACGACTGAATTTGTTCACAGGCAACTGGATATCTTCCAACTGGCTCGCGGCGCTCCTCCGCCTGGAATAGCTACTCAAATCTTTCACTTCGTCAGGGATCTATATGTACATCGGGAGGACTCTGATACCGAAATGGGTTAGATGTGGACTTTCCTGTCTTTGGCTGAGTCTGAAGGAGCCTTGCAAAGGATCGAACACCCCTGGAAGCCTTCTGGTGGAATGACACCACGAATTTGACAGGCGGATGGTTTTCATTGCTGGGTAGTTTGGTTCCCAGTTGTAAGAGCGAAAACCGGTCAACGCCTACCACTGTATCAAACGCATGATCACGACTGTATCCTTGGCCAGTTCAGCAGCAGCGCTTTGTTCTCATCTCAATATGCGGAGATCGACATGCCAGTCGCCTGTGCCCGTTCTGGATTTGGCCACCGCTGCTGCGAGGCAGACCCCTCGAGATATAGCACTGATACTCAAACCATCTCTGCTACAGGACTGTGAGAATTTGTACACTTTAGTCTTACTTGATACATCAGATTGCAGCAACTCTACTTGAGTGCATACGTGGCACCCTTTTTACTATCTGGATGTAGACACAGAGGCAACGTCGCTGCTTCGACGCCTGGTTCGCCATCCTTGCGGTGCGGAAGTATCCGGATGAACCTCACCGCAACATGAGGTACTATATTGCCAGATATATACTGCGTATGGTGTTTGATGAGTCTACCTGTAAGTGCAATGTTCCCCAAAGAAAAAGATAGCAAAAGCCGTCATTGCAGACAGAGGTGCTCTTCCTTGTTGCAATTTTGGCTTCCTCAGATATGCAGAGCAGTGATATCTGCTGCTCCTGGGACATTTCTCTCGCGTAGGCAAGGCCCCAGCGACGCAGACCATAGATTCAGATGGCACAATCCGCAATAGCAAGCCTGAAGCAGCAGCGATGCAAACCATGAAAGGCGTGCCGTTCGTGGCCCGTACCATACCAGCTTCGGTCGTTTTCACGCCCCCGCCCATCTCAACAATGACCTCTCTTCGACGGCCCGACGAATGCTGGTCTCGCCTCCTCCATACCTCCTGGTGAGCTCCTCGACATCAAGACTCGCCCACTGTCTTGTGCCCCGACCATGGCCACCGGCTTCTTGCTCGCTGCGAAGCGGACACCAGTCACCCATAGCCTTCAAGCGACCCGGGGGTTTCACTGGCAAATACACCCTCAGCCGTGCCACCTCTAGATCAGGGTCGCGGAGCAGTCTGAGGAGTATGGTCGCTGGCGCCGACGTCCATAGTGCCCCTCGCTTGACTGCGCCCTGCTGCTCCAAGTGGAACACCCTGATATCCAGGTGCCTGAGGTCGCCGCTCAGGATCATGTCCTGCAGGCAGGGCGCGACAAAATCACCCAGCGGGCCACCGAGGCGTTGTAGGTAGAGGACCAGGTTCCTCACGCGCCTGCGGGAGTGGAGGTAGTGCGCCGTGCTCGCACGGCCGGCTGAGTCCTTCCGGCGCAACGACTGTTGCTGTGGTACCAAGACGCCCTGCGTGCTCAGCGCGTCAAACAGCGTGGACCTGCGTACGCCAGCGTACAGATAGAACGTGTTCCCCCCAAAGAACAAGCTCGACGCCTCCCTGTAGAACGTCTGGCTGACAAGGAAGTAGTTGACTGGCCAGCCGACCCGACGCTCGTTGTCGCTGTCGTCGCCTTCATACTCGTCGTCGTCACCATTATCAGAACTGTCGTCACCCTCACTCGGCTCCGTATCTCTGTCGGGGAAACAGTGGCGTTCGCCTAGGTGAATACCGTCGGGCCTGACCACCAGGTGGGCGAGGATCTGTTCTCTCAGCTCACCCGGCAGCTCAAAGAAACAGTCAAACCTTCGGTTCTCCATTGCGAGACTGCAGCGTGTAGTGTCCAGCGGCTTGGGCTGTTGACTGGGTATGTTTGAGGACATGGGGTCTCGGGATTATGAAGCTGGCCTGGGTGGTCGTAGGGGAGTCAAGTTTGGCGGTTTTACTTACTCAGCGGGGTCTGGCTGGATTGGACCGCCCAGGAATCCAGAGGCCTACAACGACACACATCTCAGCAGAAGGACAGGAACATGGGTTGCCCAGGGAGATAGGTATAACCATATCGGTGTGCATGTGTCAAGTCCTTGCTTTTGACCACTGTTTGCGACGAAGCGGTCTTCCCCGTGTTGCTTGTCAAAGGATGATGGTGTTGGTGTCCGTTAGTAGGCTTCACTTCCGGCTCGACCCATTCAAGGAGCAACCCGATCAGATATGAAACGGTCCCCATAGCGCACCGTCACCTTCGGCCTACCGTGGTGCGCGAGAAGTAAATGAGTAAGGCTTGCTGTCCGAGAGGTTGGCAAGTTGGCAGACGGTCCGCAAAACCCACAATCTTCAACGTGTGAGCATACAGTATCCAAGCAACCCCTCGTCGTCTGTGCAAAGTGCAGCTACTGTATGATATCAACTGCACCACTTTTCGCATCCTACAAGTATCACACGTCAGTCCTGTGACGGTGTTTCTGACCAGTCCTTGGAAGACTTTGCATTTCTCTAATTCTACAACTGGCACAGCCTAGCCTTGACTGAGCCTCCAACTCGACACCTATCCGAAGACGTGTCTATCTCTACAGCCGACTGCTTTCCTTGAACAGGCCGCCGACTCTACGCACACAATGGCCACCGTCGAACAGATCCAGAAGTCCGCCACCGCCGCCGCACAGAGCCTGATTGCTTCCGATGCAAAGACAACCAGTACGTTGATAGCCGCCGTCGACAAACATCGGCCTCTGGTGTCTTGTACTGACCAAGAACCGCAGTGGCTGGAAAGCAGCCCCAGGAGATGAAGGAGCACGCGGCCCAAGTCCTCAACGCCGCGATACCGACGGTGCACGGGTGCGTTGAGGCGCTTGCGAAGGACCCTAGGCAGCTGGAGGCCGAAGACGCCGACGTGCTAGCTATACGGGCTGTCACGTTGACCGCATTCGGCACCCCAATCGGAAGTACCTCGTCTAAGATGAAGTAAGGTGCTCTCTTGAAGTGACTCTTCAGCCATCCGCGACTGGGGCAAGTGTGGCCTGGTACAACAACCTTGGAATAGCTGTCGCCGAGGTTGCTGAGAGGTGAACTCAGTAAGGGCCGTTAGGAGGCAGGCCGTGGGCGTCGACGTGACGTGTGAGCTCAGTCGAGTACGCGGGTGCTTGCTGGTGGTCGAGTCAGCGTGTGCCCAAGTGTTGTATTGTAGGCCGGCGTCGTTGCCTCTTGCCCCCACTCGCTACTCACCAAGGCAGCTCGGCGAAGGTATCACGGAGGGAGTCAAGGCATTGCTCTTGCGGACAGTAGAACCAAACTCGTCCAACTTTACAGATGGCCGACGTGGTGCACCCACCAGGTTTAGCGATCAATGGCCCAAACTCAGTTCCAGCGTCTTACAAGAGACATCTGCACAGTTATATCCACAGAAGCGTGGTGACGCCTTTTGATGATAACCCATTAAACTCCGCAGTTTCCTTGACCCAATGACCCCAGTTACCCTCATGGCCCTGCACACCCGCAGCGCCGTGAGCTCTAGCCAGCGGGTGTACCTCTCCCCATCCGCATGTCTCCGCTAAGTGTGAATTATCCACCACTATCGCATGGACGAGCAACCACCAGCAGTGTATGGACCTATCGGGCCCGAGCTTTCAATTCAGGGGCAAGTATGCGGGTTGATGCTTCCGGTCGGTCTGGCTCGATTATTTCAGAACAGCCGGGGTTCTCCAAGACACACGAGACCTCAGTGTTGTGGCCCAGGGCCAACCCGGACCCATTGTGCCCTTATTCATGTTCTTCGGTCGCTTTGCGGCTCACGCTCGCAATGAAATTCTGGTACTGTTCGTCCTCGTTGACAGTCCTCTTGCCACCATGCTTCAGCGCGTGGGGCTTCGCAGACAGCTGCTTTATCGTCTTGTCCTTCTTCCACGTAAGACCCTTCTTCCATAATTCCGGGTCTTCAATGTCGGGGGTCGCGTTGCCCGATTCGTCGGCTTTGTTTTCCTTCTCGGATCCGTGCCCGTCCTCCTTTGCCTCCCTCTCGGGTTTCGGTAGGCGCATTGCCAATAATACGTACTCCGCGCGCGTCATATTGTCCATCACATCCTCCATGTAGCGCTTGACCTCTTCCGCCGGGGCCACAACCCTCGAGAAATATTCCAGAGTCCTGGGTTGGGTCGAGGACATCCTGATGGTCACAGGTTGGTAGTAATCGAGCTTCGGGTCGCCACCGTACTCAGATGTACTCCCTTTTCTGACAATAAGGAAGGACGCGATGACCTGTGTTCCACTCGGTGTCTGAACTTGCTCCGCGATACTGAACCTGGGGAACAAGTATCTGTCGCCATTTCCGCCCGAGAACTCGAAAACAAGTGCTGAAACATCAGGCTTCACCACCGGAGGCGGGCCTTTGGAGCGGAGGGCTTGCTGCGGTGGCGGTGGCGGCGGCGCTTGCTGCACGCCAGGTGATTGGGCGCCCGGTGTCCCGTTGGGCCTGGCAGATGCACCCGCCGACTGAGGCTTCTGTTGCCCGAGCTGGTCCTTCAGACGGTCCAGAGTCTCCTTCAGGTCAGTGGCATCTGAGAACTCGGGGTTATTCTTGGCTATGCGCCGCACCCGCTCCAGAGTCTTGGGGTCGTCGAGCGCGTTCTTCACCAGCGCGACAACCAGAGGATCACTGCCCGAGGGTGGCGCGAGGTCAGCAGACGTCTGTTTTGGGTTCGACCTGAGCACTATGGCAATGATGGCATCAACTTCATCAGCAAAGTAGCGCATGCTCCTGCCATCGACCAGAAGTCGGTCCGCTGACGGGCCCTTCAATGCCCCTTTGCGCTTGCTCTCCGCAGTGATCTGGTCAATTATTGCTTGGAATCGGGCGAGCTCGTCCTTTGGAGCGTTGCCGTTGGCCACTCGCTTCATCAAATCGCGTAATTGCGGGTCCTCGTTCGCTTTCTCAGCCAGCGTGACGATAATGGGATCTGCCCCGACAGGAGGGCCGGGAGGTCGATTTGGAGGGTTTTGAGGAGGCAGGTGGCGCGAGCTTCCTTGCGGTGGAGTAGATACACCGGCCATTGGCGTAGGGACGGAGACTCGGCCATGTTGTGGCGGAAACGTGCTGGTACTTGGGGCTGCAGCCGAGCTCGATGGCGCTGGTGATAATGATGATGGTGCTGGCTGAGGCATCTGCGGGGCCAGGGGTGCTAGAGGGTTCGAAGGCGTCGCGGCCGGTGCTGGAAATGCTTCGTGAGGGGAGGTTGAAGGGCCTGTGGCGCGAGGGGACATGTTCGGTTTCGCCGTCGCCGGGACATGAGCGCCTTGAGGAGTCAAAGATGGCTGCTGTGCAGCAGGCGGTGCTGATGTCTGCGGCTGCAAGAGGTTTCCGGCCTGAGGGGCTACAGAGGACATGGCTGAGGGTGTGGGAGCGGATGGCACCGGATTTGAGGCATTCTGTGTCCGATCGGGCGCGGGCGCGGGTGTAGCTGAGGGCGTCGCAGGCTTGGACAAGGGTGTAGGAGGTGGAGGCATGGCACCATTGGGGGGGCCATACTGCAGGATTGGGCGAAAGGCGGGCTGAGGCGCAGGTTTGTTGGGGTCTTTGACAGCATAGACGGTCGCCTCGAAGTAGTGCGGTTCGAGAGAGATTGTGACCTGGCCGATCTTGGTCATGGTATCCTTTGGGGGGTTTTTGGCATCTTCCAGCACGACGCCCTTCTTCTTTGTTGGTTTCGTCCAGTACTTCTCGAAGAGCCCATCGCCAATCCATCTCTGGCGCGACCGGGAGAGTGACTCGGCCAAGACGCCGCTGTGAGAGGCAAAGTCAGGCATTAGTCGAGGCAGGCAGGGTGAAGGGGGGCGGGCTGCGACACGGTACCTCTCTTGTATGGACTGGTAGTCTTTCTGGGGTGGAGTTGCAGATTGCGCAGCGCCCTCGATGGTAGGCAGAGGTTTTCCTGGGTGGATGGAGGTGGGCAACGGGGGAGGCGGGGGCTTCTGAGGCTCGTCGACAGGGTCGGGCGCAGGAGTGGTGTTGAGCGCGCTCGAAGGGGTGGCGGGAAGGAGGTCGGGAGGCGTCGAGGTTCTGCTCTTCTTTGCGGCCTGCTCGACGCGCGCAGCAGCACGCGCCGGCACCCTCCTCTTCCTTTCCATGGCGGCGAGGGATGGGGGCGTGGGCGTGGGCGAGAGCAGTCGAGTCGCGCGTGAACCGTGACCCCGGACTGGTCTGGTCTAGCTGTGGTCAGTCGAGGTGTGGGCACGATGGACACTATATCAAATGCATTGGCGCATCGCCAGCATCGACCGAGTCGGTCATGGACTAGCACTGGTATGGGAGAAGGACAGGTGGGTGGGCACGAGAAAGAGGCGATGGGGTGGAGGTGCCTTGTGCCGTGTGCCGTCCAAGGTGTCTGGGTGTTTGGAAAGGAAAGTCCAACGGGGGACGGGGCACGGGAGTCGGGAGCCAAGGGTGGGAGAGTCAAAAGTGCAGCGACTTTGGGGTTACCAACGTGCCTACCCACCTACCTACCTAGGTAGGTAGGTACCTAGACTACCTAACCTGATCTGCCCCTGCCTGGTGGTAGCACAACGGTAGGCCAGACGGCGTAGCACCTAGACTACCTACCTACCTAAGTACCTAGATAGCCAACGACCGTATCTGCGCACCCCTCGGTCCACAGCACTGCCAGGCTGTGAGCCCGGAGCAACGACAGCCTGTTGTGCTTGTTGATATTATACCTAAACCTACCTAGGTACCTAATTAGGTAGGTAACCCCCCCGCTCTGCCTATACAGTACCTGCGGGAACTTTATGAACAATAGGACGATGATCGCCGGCTCAAAGTGACAACTGCCGGCTATCCATCAGATAGACCGTCAGCACGACTGTCAAAAAGACAGAGTAGAACACAGCGAGGTCGTGTTCAGCTGCTGCTTACCTAGATGGCCTAGGTCGGCTGACAGAGGGACCGGGTATGAGAAAACCACACACCCCCAGCTCGCCCAAGGTGCCCAAGGCACTCTACTGTGAAGTCTGAGGCGTCGTCTGCTCGCGGCTGAACCTTGGGGATCGTCCCGAGCTATTGCCCAGTACCTTGGATCGCCGCTAAGCTCCCCCCATTCCGCAGGTCCTCCCCGTTAGCCTGCGCTGATGTAGCGACACTTAGGTATTGTCACCTGGTTGGTCCCTGGAGGCGGCCCACCTCACACGCACGCCTCGCCCACCCCTGTCGCTTTCCTGCACTCGCGATGGCTTCACACACCCGTTGCCTCGCAGCAAACCCCTGTGTGTGGCCCCTCCCTTCGTGAGCGTCCTATATGCCTTCCATACGGTCCTCAGAGTCCACAAAGGCCTACTGGGCCTTCGCTGCCCTCGGCCCCTTTGCCATCTACGGAGTCGTGCTGGCCTTGCTGGGCGTCCCGTTCATCCAGAAACAGCAAGTATATGCCTGCTGGCCTTGGCCCGAGTGTTGATGCAGGGGCCGGATGCTGACGCTGACGCTGACGCCGATACAGGGCTTTATACGCCCATAAATTCCACACCCTCTGGTGGAACGACGTCGACAAACCCGAGAGATGGGGCTTTGCGAGTGAGTCGCCACGGCTTGAGCGTCCCAGCACCCGCCCGCCGTGAGACTGTCCTGACATGGATCATCAGAGAACCAAGTCACCCCCTTCACGCTGCAAGCCCCTGATGGCCCGGCCCTTTACTGCTGGCACATCTTGCCTCTGTCGGTGTACACGCACAAAGAAGCCGACCTTAGCCGGGCATCGCCGGCCCCATTGGACAAGCATGCATCGTCGGAAGCCTTCAGACTCCTAAGAGATGATCCCGACGCGCGCCTCATCCTGTCTTGTGAGTCCACCCGCAACACCCCGAGCCCCGTCCTCGTGCTCAGCGTCCTGGCACAGTCCACGGCAATGCAGGCCACATTGTCCAAAACACTCGCGCGCCTCAGTATCGCATGCTCACCGACACTGCCCACAAATGGCACGTCATCGCGCTCGACTACCGTGGCTTCGGCCACAGCACTGGCTCCCCTTCAGAAGAGGGTCTCATCACGGACGCCTCCACGCTGGTCGACTACGCTATTACGACCCTCGGGATACCACCGAGCCGCATCCTGATCCTGGGCCAGAGCCTAGGGACCGCGGTGTCCTCGGCAGTTGCCGAGAAGTTCTCGCGCGAAAAAGGTGTCGAATTCGCCGGCGTGGTGCTCGTCGCGACCTTCAGTAGCCTGCCGACCATGTTGGCAAACTACGCCCTGGGCGGGGTAGTGCCCTTGCTCAAGCCTCTAAACATGTGTCCGCCCGTGCTCCGCTTCTTCCTCCGCTTCGTGGTCGATAAGTGGAAGACTCTGGACCGCCTCGCCGCTCTGACCGCCCAGACCCGGGAGCGGAATGGTAGGCTCAGGATCACAATGATCCATGCGGCCGACGATGGGGACATACCATCTGTGGAAAGCGTCAAGATCTTCGAAGCGGTAGCGCGGGCCTCGGTCGAGGACGGAATGGATGAGACCGTGTTTCTAGAGACAAAGGACGCGAGGACGGAGGTGCGAGGGGAGAAAGCATTCAAGATCACCTGGAACGAAGATGATATTACCAGTAAGTAGCTCCATCTGGGGCTGCTGTCCTCTGGCCCTGTCAGACAGCCGCCTCCGGCCTCCGTTCCTGTATTCCATACGCCAGACGCCGACCACACTCCGCGATAACATCGGCTATCTCGTGCTCCGCACACAAAAGTTGGGCATACCGTATTGACAGACTCGCAGTCACGCATGAACAGTTCGCCTTTGGAGGTAAGTAACCTGCGGTTGAACTATAGGTCTTCAATTCTTAGCTGGTGGCGTGCTCGCTGACCAAGTTTAGGGCACAACGATATCATGGTCTACGCGCCTGTACCACAGGCTGTAATGAATATACTTGAAAATAGAGGGGCGACTGGATCATCAGCCGCGTAAGAACCGATTACGCCACGAGGAGCGCTTGCCTCAGGCAGCTTCACGGCCAGAGAGAATCATGTATTTCAGTCTGGTCGGGCATCAACGGCGCAAAAGTCCGCACTGCAGACCAGAGGCCGACAGTCTCGATACTGGTCGTTTCGATATTATCGCAAACCCGATCGGCTGCGCACCAATTTAGAAGTCTCAGTCGTGTCCTGATGCGATACAAGCTGCTTAAGCGAATCATGTGTTGGTCAAGTCATGCCAGGGAGTTGACTGTAAACAGAGTGATTTATGTTGTTTGGCCGGTTGTCGCCCCTCCACGGACATCTCATCGTTGTGAGTGGAGCTCATGGGGTCCCCATCAACTCTACTGGGCCGGAGAAGCACCACTTTGTTGAGAGGATCCTCGACCAACGAGAGAGGTTTAACTTTGGTCCTGACCAGAGTTTTATATGAATGTCCTCCCGATCCCCTGCCATGCGATGCGGTATCTGTGACTTCATGTATTGAGACCGAACCGGATGTGTCCACACGTCGAGTACGCCCGCAATCAGGCTCGGCACGGCCGTGCATCCGGCGGAGGGGCCCAGATGCTGCGCTAAGCAGCTGGTCCGCACTGGACCTGGACCAAAGTGGCGGATAAGAGGGTATACCCACCGAGAACGCTGGGCAACACAAGATCGTCCAGGCGAAGCGCTACGAGAGCCTAGTGTCTGGATGAGCGTATGCTCCGTGGCTCTTCTCAATATGTTGAACTTGGGTGGAATCAAGAGGCTCTACGGCCGCTTCCCGGGTCTTCTGGACATCATGCACTACACGTACTTGTTGCATAAAGCATTTGCACCATCATGATAACAGCAAATGCCTCTTGAATCTGAGCGAGGCTGCAGAGTCATCTGTTGCCAATCATTGGTGCACCGGAATAAGCCAAATGGCATCTGATCCGAGAGACCGCTTTCCAACATGGACCGGAGAGCAAGGCCGGCCCTTTCGTTATACCAAAGTGATCTGGCTATCGCGTTACCTGAGGCCGCTGGGCCGTCGGGAAGAAGACGTAGTGTAGGGTCTGCCACCGTCTTTGGTCAAGATCAACAGCTGCAGCCTGCCTCCATGGTGTGCAAGGGATGCTGAACAAAAGCAGCGTGTAGGCTATGCGTGAGTTGCTGTAGAAAGAAGGCGACTTGACACGACGAATCGGGTGAAGTGAGAGTACTGGTGAAAGCACCGGCGAGATCCGTCTCGTACCATGCGTAGCAAATGTACTGACGTTTGTTCTGGATCAGTGAGTGGCAACTAAAGCATTTGGACTCAGGAGTAGCACCCTGCATGTCGAGTCTCGGACCCGCCAGTTAGGCAAGGAGAGCAGCTCTTGCTGACCGGACAGCGCCAGCAAGGCACAGATGCACAGAAGCCAGCTCGCCATTACCCGGACACGCGAAACCAAAATTCGAACGCCGTCAGACGTTGAAAGAGGGGAAGATACCGCATTGAACTCCTGCTAACCACGTGCCTCGCGGGAAAAACTCTAAAACTGGTCCTCACCCCATCCGAGATGCCGGTTGACCTCGTTCATTGCATTGACACCGGCCCTGAAGAGGCCCAGTGCTCCGTCGACCGTCGAATGACCAGTGTTGAACGCCGGGTCCGCGCCGTCGGCCGAGATCAAATCCTGCTGATCCAGAACGCCCTGCCTCTTCGAGAGGACGGCTTTTGCAATAGGCCTCGCCCACATATTGTACCATTGATCTTCGGTGAGCGAAACATACCTCCTGCGGCCTTCGGAATCTACCCTCGAGAAATGCCATTCCGAGCTCACGGTCTCGAATCTCTTGGTCCGTAAGAACAGATAAGGCCACGACAGCAACCACAGCATACTAATGCAGAACATGACGTAGATCCACTTGGTAAGTCTCCACTGATTCGTCCGGCATTCGTTCCAAACCTGGACCGTATGATCCTGCACGGGAAACGACACATGGAGGTGTCCTCTGTAGTTCATCCTCCGTACCAAGGCCTCAAGCTGCTCCCTCACGCGGGCCTGGTCGAACCCCGACATTTTTCGCCTCAGCGAGAACGACTTCAGCCCCGAATGTGAAGCAACATACAGGTGGCACCATTGCGTCAAGTTTGGCTTGTCGACGACACCCAGCTCGATGTTGCCCTTGGCTTTGGGCGCGCGGCGCGGAAAGATGGTGCCGCGCTTAGCTTTGTCGCCGTTCTCAACAGTTCGCAGCTCAGACCAGGCATGGCGATTTGTCGCGTCGGCAAAGAGATAAGGCGTGAGCTCGACCTTGACGTCGAAGTCGGTGATGTTTTTGTTCTCCTTCTTCCCATCGCGGCCGCTGCGCCGCTCGCGATGGTAGCCATAGACGCGCACGAACGGACGCGGAGGGATAGCTGCCCAGCTGCGGACACGTGACTCCAGGAGCTCCGGATCGGAATCAAGATTAGCCGACAGATAGTAGAGAGCCTGGTCATCGCGAAAGAATGGCTGCAGGTCAGAAGACGACGGATACCCAGGCAGGGCGGTGTCAGAGAGTAGAGGGGCAGTCTGGGTGGTGCTTGCGCTTGCCTCGGCTACCTCGTCATACACTGGCGGAAGGTCATCGTTGTGGTGGCCTTGGGTGGCGGCGAACAGGTCCGGCTCGTCGGCATCACGATAGTAATCGCCAGATTGAGTGTGCAGAGACATGGCGTCGCTGTCGGGCGACGCGCTTGGCAGGCTGGGCTTCCCCATTGCTTGTTCTCGTCTGCACTACAGCTGAGGGCTTAAGGAGATTGGCGTAGACCACAGGTGGGTGAAGGGCCTGGCCACGTGAGAGAGGGAGGGAGTGGAAGGAAGAGATGGAGGAGGTGAGAAAGGGAAACGAAGACGTGAGCGGAAACAAAGAGGGCGTTCCTTGGTCCCAGCAGTAATTAATTATGCTGAGGCCGAGCTGTAGCTGCCTGCGATTCTCGCATTCTACCTACCTAGGCCTAGGTAGGGTAGGTAGGTAGGCACCTGGGCATCAAGTACCTAGGTACTATACCTAGGTAGGTTTGAGGGAGCCAGCCAAGCTATACTCCGCTGGGCCTCTGCTTGTGAAGACTCCCATGGTCCTAAAGGTTGCTATGTCTGGCTTGTTGTACCAGCATTGTTGATCTCTTTTGGAAGTGAAGGATAGACATTGCAGCAGGCCGGCCGTTGTTAACGGGTAGGGAACCTGGTGGTAGTCAATCTAAAGCATCCTAGCAATCGTGGCAGCCCCTTGGTGGGGTCAGCCTGGTCACCCACCGTCAATGGCCTGTCCCAACTCTCGGTCGAACCCCCGCCACTGGAACCCCTCCCCGGATTGCTTTGCTTCCTTGGCCGGCCGCAACGTCTGAAGTAGCCTCAAAGCTTTCACCTTGCAGCTTCTCCGAACCGTCCCCCCCTCTCAAGAACAGGTGCACCCCTGCCACAACACACCGGGGCAAGATGTCGGGCACAGAGTCCAAGGAGGCGGGTGCAGGCAATGCAGCAGCAGAGAAGGATACCGGGATAGACAAGGGCAAGCAGCCTGCTGTCGCTGGTGCAGACGAGGAGGTCGCCGACGTCCCCGACGACGACGACAACGACGACCAGGAGGACGACGATGCCGATGCCCAGGGCAAGGGCGAGGGCGAGGGCGCCGCAGCCTCGTCAGGCAAGAAGAAGAAGAAGTCCAAAAGGAAGAAGGTCAAGGCTGCCTTGACCGGAAAGCCAGACGACCAGATGGCCCAGGTCAAATCCGTGCTCGACAAGCTGCCCCAGCACGACCTCCAGGACTTGATCTCAAGAAACCCGGCGCTCCTCAAAGATTACAACGGTGACTCCGCAAAGGCTGCAGAGGCCTTCAAGAAGCTCTCTCTCGACGAAGTCATGACTGGTCTGGCATTGAGCGGGAAGAACGCCAAGGACATGGCAAGCTATAAGTTTTGGAAAACACAGCCCGTGCCCCGCTTCGACGAGGAGATGCCCAAGGACTTCAAGGAAGGGCCCCTCAAGGTTCAGACCGTCGACGACGTCCCCAAGGAGGCCCCCAAGCTTGGGATCGAGGGCTTCGAATGGGTCACCATGGACCTGACAAACGACGACGAGATCAAGGAGGTCTACCAGTTGCTCAACGGCCACTACGTCGAGGACGACGAGTCCATGTTCCGCTTCAACTACGGAACTGCGATCCTCAAATGGTAAGTTGTCACTGACCCCGAGCTGCGAACGAGGCACGAGCAAGAGCAAGAGCACCAGCGCTGATTGCTTCCGACCAACTGCAGGGCCCTAATGTCCCCAGGCTGGTCCCCAGAGTGGCACGTCGGAATCCGCGACTGCCGCCTGCCCACCAAGAAGCCCCTCGTCGCCTTCATCTCCGCCGTTCCCGTGAACCTGCGCGTGCGAAACAACATCATCCGCACCTCTGAAGTCAACTTCCTTTGCGTGCACAAGAAGCTCCGCAACAAGCGCCTCACGCCAATCCTCATCAAAGAGGTCACACGCCGCTCTAACCTGCAGGAGATATGGCAGGGTGTCTACACCGCTGGTATCGTGCTTCCCAAGCCCGTCAGTACCTGTCGGTACTACCACCGGGCGCTGGACTGGAAGAAGCTATACGACATTGGCTTCAGCCCGCTCCCACCAAACAGTAAGCCCGAGTGGCAGATTCGCAAGTACACGCTGCCAGAAAAGACAGCCACCAAGGGCCTGAGGGAGATGACGAAAAAGGATGTTCCGGCGGTGCACAGGCTGATGAAGAGTTATGTTAATCGCTTCGATATGGCCCCTGAATGGGATGAGGGCGAAGTCGCACACTGGCTTCTGCAGCCAAGGGCTGAGGGCGATGAGCAGGTTGTCTGGTCATACGTGGTCGAGGTAAGAGATACCCACACAAACACACTCCCACTCACTCACTCATCGGTCTCAACATCACAACTTCCCATGACTTCTTCGCTCATTGTTTTTATAGGACGAGGACCACAAAATCACAGACTTCTTTTCCTTCTACAACCTTGAGTCCACGGTCATCAACAACCCGCGACACAAGGTGGTCCGAGTCGCTTACCTCTTCTACTACGGTACCGAGGTGGGCCTTTCCACGCCCTTCAACAAAGCCGCCACGAAAGAGCGTTTGAACGAGCTTATGCACGACGCGTTGATCCTGGCAAAGAGGGCGAAATTCGACGTCTTCAACGCGTTGTCGCTTATGGACAACACATTGTTCCTTGAGCAGCAGAAGTTCGGCCCAGGTGACGGGCAACTGCATTACTACCTGTTTAACTACCGTGCGAAACCCATCACCGGCGGTATTGATAACCAGAATAGGGCAGATGAGGACCACCTAAGCGGGGTTGGTTTCGTGATGCTCTAGAGTAGGGAATCCAAGCAAAGGCAGCGGGCTCAAGCCGAGCCGCCCTCCCCTCACATAACAGCCCTAGAGCGTTGCAAGACACGCCAATAGAAACACCATCAGACCCAATGTGCTAATGTAAGGACCGCACATGCGACAGCGCCAACGTGCTCTATGCTTTGCTCTGGATCGTCGACAAAAGATGGACTCATTTGCCCTGAGCCTATGGCCCCGGCCTCCCATCCAAGCTCTCTCCCTTCCATACTCTCTCCTCTATTAGCTCATGAAACCAGGCGGTACGTTCCAACGGGGGCACATGCCCCATATCAGGTCTAATGATGCCCATCAGCCCGGTCCTTCGTTCCCGCCGAGAAATTCCAGCAACTTTCTCCCGTGGGGCACAGAGATCATCCTGTCGGCCTCCCCGTGGAGAACAAGAATGCGGTCACGACCGATCTTGTCGGCTATCTCCCCGAGCTGCTCCCTGCTCTTGTGATGCCAGCCTGCGGCAATGAGCTGGAGGAGGAAGCCCTTTGTAGTGAACCCCTTGGCGTCGAGGCGCTTGTGCATCTCGCCTGCCACAAATCTCTCGTAGTTGGTGTTGAAATGCAAATACTCGCCTTGGCCGCCTTTGCCGCCCGGCGGATGGACCTTTGGTGCCGAGCTGGGGTCTGGCAGGTGAATGTCGTCCGTCCCCCTAAGATAAGGGAGGGGAAACATGTTTGCTGCACCACTCCTAACACTGGCTTCCAAGCTCTTTGGAACCAGCATTTGTGCGCGCTGCATCATATTTTCCCAGAACGTGGTTGTATTCTCGATGGCCGCGGCGGTGCACAGCAGATTTAGCGTACTTACGTACTCGGGCACCAGGTACGCAAGTTCTTGAGCGATCATTCCGCCCATGGAGATTCCCAGGACGTGTAAGGTCCGCTGCGGCGTGGGCTGGGTGGAGAGTGACTGAGGAGAGAGCACGTGGGACGGTAGCCAGCCGATGTGTTCGAGGACTTCGATGGCGTCCCTTGCCATCTCGCTGGTCGAATAGCGCATCAGCGGCTTATCCGAGCCACCCATGCCGCGGTTGTCGACAGTGAGCACAGAGTACTTCTCGCCGTGCTCATGACCGAAGTGGAGAGTCTGCCGCTGCCAGGCTGACTGGAACGAGCCCAAACCCATCAAGAACTAGGGACAGCTGATTCAGCACCTCTCACAGTTTCAAGAGCAGCATGATAAGATGAACGAGAACAAGAAGCCGCCTCTTATCGTGAGGGGAGATGTGAAGGACGGAGTGGGCTGATCGGGAGTGTGAGGCGAGCAAAGGCGAGCACATACAACCATCTTGACGGGCCCATGGCCGTGAATCGCCCATGAGATTTTGAGAGGACCACCACGGCCTTCTGCCACAGGCAAAAGGCCGGAACGCGTTGGCTCCAGGTGCCAAGTTGCTGTGGGAAAGGCCGGGTGCTTCAGGACATTGGAAACGAGGGGGAGTTGGGACCTGTGGGCCATGTCAGTCACGCGAGGTGTTCGACGAGCGGTGTTGAGGATCCTCATCTGCAGAGAAGGGGAGACTCACCACAGCTCTTTCTCCGACGCCGCCATGCTCTCCAGTGTTAATGAGGCGTGAGTCTACACTGGGTGTGTTTTAGATGACCGATATGGGTATGAAGTGCTGGGCTGGCCGACAGGCTGTTTAGGGCGCGGGAAAGTGTTGAGCAATACTGCCCCACACTATCCATGTATCGTCAGCGGGAAATCGACGTTTAGGTATTGGGAAGGGCCCGTGGGGCTGAGAATCACTCGATCTCGATCGTTCATGCGATAACGTTCACCATCATGCTCTGGATTGCTGGAAATGTATTTGTCGCCAGTTGAAGTCGAGGCATGGGATGACGTCGGCGGTTATTTAGCCTCGGCACCGGCTGAGGCCCACACTGCACATGTTCGTCGGGGCGTGAAACATGAATGTGAGTTTTCTACAGTATTTACCATCGTAGGTTATCCCATAGTAGGTCTTCCTACAGTATCTGTGATCCGCTCTCGCGGAGCCCGTCCCGATGACAGGGCCCGGGAGCCGACCAAGCTGGGTACTGTATTCGCAGGGCTGAGGATATTGGCTAACGTTGGTTCCGGCATCACAGGTGTACGATCGATGCGCGACTGGCAGCTGCACGACTCGCAAGTATCACCACAGTACTTCAACGTCATGCCGATGCTGCGCGCTCGTCGTCGTAGCAGATTTTCCGCATACTGCCAAATCTATGTGTCAATTGCAGTGCTACTGGTGGTGAACGCGTCTTTCCATACATGTCTCGGTATCGAATATCTGGAGTATCTACATCAGATTCAGGAGCATCTACCGCTCAAGCCAGGCCAGGCTTCGAACAGCAGGCGTACACCAGTGCACTTTTCCCCTCCAGGCTGTGAACGTCATCGTTGTGTACCTTTGGTCACATGCAGCGTCGTAAGAGACAGAGAGGGCGGAGTAAAAAGGCACCTGCCCCCCCCCCCCCAAACACAAGTGGCTGATCTCACATGTAAGTCCATTTGAAATTCTTGGCGATTATTACACTGATAAGCAGGTGGCACCCAAACGCCTGCTGCTGCTAACGGTACACTGCATTCTACACCTCGGAAGAAAAGGGAGTGGACCTGAGGTAAAATGCACTCGGAACCCTGTGGGCAACTACCTGTGCCGTAAGCTGCCAACCCGCCGTTTCAAACCGTCGACAAAGTCTTTCGGGCGGCTGGAGCTGGCAGCCGCACTGCTGCTTCGCTGTCGTACCAAGACGGGGGGCTGCACAGGGTCCTTTTTATCCACGTCGCTGCCGCGGCGAGGTCGCTGGGGGATCATCTCATATTCGCCACGTCTCTCGCGAACAGACTGAGATCGTGCGATAGCCTTCTTGGCCCGCCGTTCCCGGTCCATAGTGAATCCGGGCTCTCCCTTTCCCTTGAGGTCGTCGGGATGGTATTTCTGCAGTTCGCATCAGCACACAGCATCACAATACAGCACAATACAGCACAACACAGTGGTGGGGCCGTGGTTGTGGGTAGGGCGGGAAAAGGATTAAGACGAGACTTACCACTCCAGGCCATTGCTTGTAGGCGCCACCTCCGGCGTGAGGGTCCCTGAGCATATCGGTACTATACTCGTAGTCCATGAGTTCGCCGTTGAGGGCTCGCTCGCCGGGGGGCACGCTGGCGGTGGCGTCGAGCGGCCTGCCCTTCAGAAGTGCATCGAGCTTTGCCTCACGAGGGGTCGCTTTCCAGGCCGCCTTGTTTCCTTCTTCCACTGCAGCGACGGGCGACAATTTGGAGTTGAGGTTGAAGGACTTCATGGTGGCATCGTAGGGACCGCCGTGGTGGTAGGGGCCGCCGAAGGGGGTGGTGTCAAGCCTGTCAATGGTGTCTGCGACGTACTTCTTGGGTTTTGGGCGACGGTGGGCGCGGTCCGACTTTGTACGACGCAAGGTGCTGTCGTAGGAAGGCGGAACATCTAGCAGGGACATTGTGGCGGGCGCGAGGGACGGATATGGTGATGGAGATGGAGATAGATAGAGGTGGCGATGACGATGATGGAGATGGGGTTGTTTGAGCTGACGGGCTTCTAACACAGACAGCGGAGGGCCGCTGTTACTTCAACAGCTATTTCTCGAGACGTGGTGAGATGCGTTGGTCACGGCAGCAAATGGGCAGGACGGGATGAACGGGACCAGATACGCGCAGGCCTGACTGGATGACTGTGATATATGTAAGTGGACTGACCCGCTGCCTCGCGGTCCCAGGTGATAAGTTGTCATCCACGTATGAGGGGATGCTGGGTGATCCGGGAGGAGGAGCACACAGCATTGCGTAATGAGTGGCTGCCCAGGTGTGCCCAGGTGTGCCCAGGTGGGCTGTGAGGCGGTGACGTATCCCTCACACACAGAGCAGGTGTGAGCCGTGATAAGACAAATAGTCCAGCAAGTAACAGCAACATTTTGATCCCGAGCCTGCCGTTCCAGGGCCCAGGGCCCAGGGCCCAGGCCGGCCTCAAGCACCAGGGGCCCACGCATCAGGGCAGGTTCTTGGGCTCAGATGCTGGATGCTGGAGTACGAGCCCGACGTCATGCCCGCCTTTCCCTGCCAAGCGTCCGCATGTCGCCCGGGACTGTCAGTCAGGGATCGGCACCGCCACCTGCATTGCCGCAGCTACCCTGCTGCTGAGCTGGCCCCGCTGACAGGGCTCATCAGATCCCTTGGTTTTTGGGACTGTCAAGGGACATCTTCTGCCTCACGGACTCGGTTCATCCCATGTCTCGGCCCCAGCTCCAACATACAGCACATCACAGCGCGATGATTAGAAACCCCACGCAGCCATCGTGGCCGCTACCGTGACCGTCATGGCCCTGGTCGACTACTCGTCCTCCGACCCGGACTCTGGTCCTGAGTCTGCGTCTGATTCTGACTCTGGTCCTGGACATGGACATGGACACGGGCAGAACGACGACGTCGAGCCTCGAGACTCTGCAACGAAGACGCCAAGGTCGCCGCCAGCTTCCACAAGCACTCAAATCGATACTCAACCCAGCCAGCGGCCAGTCTCGAGCGCCCTTCCGCCCTTGCCGCCCCCGTTCCACGACCTATACGCCTCTACCGTGCGCACCGCAACCGCGGACCTGCCCAGCCTGCACCAGGGCAGGAGACGTATCATCCCCCACAAGGAAGGCAACTGGCCCAGTCACATCTACCTCGAATGGCACCCCTCCTCCTCCCAGCACCAGCTCCTCAAGTCGCTACTCGCCGCTCTCGCTCAGGAACTTGACCACCTTCTCAGCGGACATGGCCTGCCTGGCTTTCTGACCTCAGAGCTGGGCGCGCCCCAGCCCCTCCACGTGAGCCTGTCCAGGCCCTTTGTTCTGCGCACCGACGAAAAGGATGCCTTCCTCGATCGCCTCATCCAGGCCACCGCGCGGTGTCGCGTGCCCGCCTTCGCCCTGGCTTGTCACGACCTGGCCTGGCACCGCAGCCCGGGCTCGGAGCGTTCCTTTCTCGTCCTGCGCGTGCGCGGCCTAAGCGGGACCAGCGACGAGCTACCGGCCCTGTTGCGCACTTGCAACCGCCTTGTGGCATCCTATGGCCAGCCGGAGCTCTACGCCTCCAGAGGGCCCGTCCAGGATGAAAGCATTGACGCCAGTGACGCCTTCCACGTCTCCCTCGCGTGGTCCTTCACCGCGCCGACCGATGATCTGAGCCAGAAGACGGCCGAGGTGTTTGCGCGCCCAGAGTTTCGCGACGCCGTCCTTTCGCGCATCAGCATTCCTGTCCAGGGGGTTAAAGTCAAGATTGGGAACGTGGTAACAAATATCGCGCTGCCAGAGACCGCAGGCGTGAGCGGCAGTAGAAATGGCAAGGGGCTTTTCGGTATCTGAGATGATTCACCACGCTCCCTGCATGGATGCCCGCGGGCGTCTTACTAAAACGCACGCAATGCCGGTAGGTATGTTGCCCACCTCTCTACTGGCTCCCTCTCCCGCCTCAACGTGAGCCGCATTGGGCAAGCAACCTGCCCTCTCCACTGCTCGTGTGGCACACAATACAGGGCATTGACTTGGGCACGCAATCTGCTGCTGACTGCTGTTAATGGTGCTGTATTGTCCTGCTAGAAGTCCCTCTACTTGATACATCCTGTTGCTTCGTTGGGCTTCTTCCTCCTTGCCCTATAGCTCGTCTGCATCCCGCCAGTCCATCGAGGGCCCGCCTGCCTTCCTCCAGGCAAGCTTCCAGTGCCGTGGCGTGACTGGAAGGCCGACGTAGTTCTGCCACAGGTACCGGGCCTCCTGCTTCACAAACAGCCACCTGCTTGAGGGTTAGCACGGACTCCGAGCCTTGACCAGGGAGGTCGATCACTCACATCAATGCTGGAAGCTCCGTCCAGCTCCTAAAAATCGACCTGAGCGCCCTGTTCACGTTGTCGAGCTCCTGATGGAACAAAGTACCGAACCCAGGTGACTTGCGCTCTGTCTTGTCGGCCTCCTCCACAATCACATGACGCGGCTTCTTCACCCGGTCTGAAATTATAGCCTTCGTCCCGTCGACCTCCCTCTGAGGCACCTCTGTCTCTTTCGGTTCCAGCTCCGCAGCCATCGATCTGAATTTTTGTATCGAATCCAGACTTGAGGTCAGTCGCGCGTACGTGTTGAACAGCGCCACCAGCTCCGTCCGCTTAAGAATCGGGATGTCGTCGCTGTCGTTATCGAACTCGAAAAGGACCTTCAACGCCGTGCCATACCCCGCTGTCTGCAGCTTGCCCCATAGCCGGCACTTGTCGCACCCGACGCAATCCATCAGACGGCTCACGTTGCGGAATCGGTTCTTGAAATCCTCCTTGAGAAAGGGGCCCTCGCCGTTCTTGAACATCAGGCTCTCATCAAAGATCTCAGGTACGGACGAGGAGGCTTGCGTCACAGCGAGGACCTTTCCTTTCGTGGTAGCGTCTTGGTCCGGGTCACCCGTGCAGAAGGTGTAGTCCTGGAGATGAGGACCCAGCTTGGCGATTGCGCGAGTGAGCAGAGCATAGTTGAAGTACAGGTTGCTGATGCGCTCGGGGAACTTGTGCAGACGATGCAAGTAACATTGCAGATTGGGCTGCCACTGGCCTGTGGTCTGATTCATCCAATCCCAGCAAAGGTGCGTGCTGATGCTGGTGTGCATTCCAGATACGACCCTGTAGAAGACTCGCTTCTCGACACACTCGTCCTCCGCTTCAAGACCCGTGTTCGCAACGAATGGCGTGTTGGGGCTCTGCTCGCGGTGCTCCTCAAGCAGCTGTTGGCGGCCAGCGGCCTCAATTACCTGCTTGAAGTCTAGCGCAGCTGGGCCGTGGGCTGGCGAAGACTGGCCCAGTGCGGCAGTATGAGGGAACGAGCTCTTCTGAAAGCAGTTTTCTCGGTAGATGGCGTTCCAGACCTGTTGCGCGCCCATGCCCGCGTAGCCAGTGAACCTCTCAGGGTTCTGGAGCAGTGAGACGTAATCGCCCTTTGATGTGGCGGATTCATCCTCCGGGACACAATAGTCGCGCTCGTCGCACTCGTCGTCGTACTCGACCACACAGCTTTCTCCGACATCCTCGCCTAGCTTGCCTTGGAGAGGTCGCTCAGGGCGCTCCCGCTGTACTGTCTTGCCCGGGTGTTTCGCCAATGGGCCTTCCAGCTTCCCCAGCTCGTGGGCTCGCCATACCTCGGGTATGTCCTCCTCATTGTCAAGGGTTTGCACGGCGCAGGCGATGTTGCCACACATACCATCCTCGTCGTTCCAGAACGGGCATGTCTTGTGGAATAGATTGAGTCGGTAGTGAGAGAAGAAGTCGGTCGAGTGAGTCAGGTCCTCGACGGCTGGTCTGACCTTGCGGTTCAGATCCTCTAGGGTAGAATAAGAAGCACACGCATCTGAGACGATGGTCTTGGGCGATATCTGGCATGGTCGGGACGCATTAGAAATTACTAAACGATATGTGGGAGAGGCTGCTGTCACCAGCCAGCAGGCGAAGAATAGTAGAAATGCATACTGCGCAATCATCTTGCTTTGGGCTCTGGCAGTGAGCGACCGGGCCCCATAAAGTAAAGAGGGAAAGGTAGAAGGGCCGGGCAGCTCTCATGATGGATGTGGATGTTCTTAAAGCTGCTCGGAGGTCGGATGGCTCCGATGTGGTTCGTTTCGCGTTTCGTTTCGGGTTGCCACAGGTCGGTGGGCTGCGGGCTGCAGGCTATGGGCTATGGGACATTGGCCATTGACCACAGGCCGTGACAAGGTCGTGGGTATCCCGTCGTTTGCCTTTCGAATGAGTCCCTCCAAGGTCTATCCTCTTGATTTTTCGGGTGCGTATGGTACAATTACGATCTCTGCTGAGCGTCGTCCCGGGTGGGCTAGTGGGGTGCAAGTGGTGATTACCTATAAAGCCTCCGGATACGTTGATAAATGGAAGAAAAGAGACAAAGAGCATGCACGACCTCCTCAGGAGCGACACGTCTGTATTGTAGGATGAAGTGCAAATCAACCAGAGGGCCTCCCCAGCAAGAAGAACAAAGAAACGACCGTTACGAGGTATGTGTTCGTTTTAATAACCGCATCGTCCCGGATGAATTGGCAATGTGTCCAAATGCAAAGTCGGATGATGTCGTCCTGTAGTTGCCAGGTTCGCTGGGCCAAGACCACCTGTGCCCATACGGACTCGCCCGGCCCCTGGCGCACGGCGCAGGCTCTGACGCTAGCAATCGACGTTCCGCCACTTTATTTAAGTTGCAGGTGGGGCATACTCTATGTACCCTCGTATCCACAATCCTCGTTACTGCACTTTGTACACCCGTAGAATACTTGTGTGCATACAGGCCATGGTGACAAAGTCCACCCAAGCTCGCCTATCGTCAGCAGAGCTCTGTCTCCTAACTGTGCACCTGACGTTAACCAAGTACTCGACTGACCCACTGATAGGAAAGCCGGCAGAGTCTAATGGTGCTTAATCAGCCTGCACCCAGTGCCCTCGACCAGACTAAACGACCAGCTGCTGGAGACTCGTGTGCTGCGCGGCAGCCTCGGGAGACGAATGTTTCACTACTGGAGGTTGGTGCTTACATGTACTGTATACTAGATACCCCGTGGGAGACCGAGACACGCTTCTGGAACGTCAATGATTCGCCTCCAGGCCATCCAGATATGCGTAGCCCCTCGATGGACACCACGAGTGTTCGCCCATTGGCCTCTAAAAGTTGCCAGCACGACTGGAGCCCGCTCAAGGGTACACACACCGCGAGGCCTTGAAGAACCTGTCCTTCCCATTATCTACCTGTGGTAGTTTGACTACTGGACCCAGGCCTTCTCGCAGGCGTCGAAGCAACGCCTCCCGCGATCACGTGGATCACACTAGACCATGGCCAAATGCGCCGCCCGTTTTCCCTGCTTTGCCGTTCCGAGTGGCGGGCCCACAAGGTAGGCAGACAAAGAACCCAAATCCTCCCAGGCAAGAACCAAAACCGTCGAAGCAGAAATATCACACAGTACACCAGGCCAGGAGAACGCCTAGCCGAGGGGTCATCCAGAGTTGCGGAAGACCATAAATCAGCCTACCAGACACGGGGGATCGAGTGGGCAGAGGAGGACCGATGTTGTTGTCGTTGTTGTTCAAAATGTCCATGACTGTCGATAAAAGAGTAGAGTGCAGTCATCAGGGCGGGAGCCCCGAGCCAGGCCATCGCTATGCAGTTGTGGAATGCGAGATTAGATACACGTGTTGTCGGAGTACTGCAGCCATCGTATTCATGCTGCCTTCATTGTGCAGGTGGTTGGTAGTTAAGCGGCCGCCTGACGCATTGGTTAGCTGGTTGCGTGACCAGATCGGGGCGAGCCACGCGGAGGCGCGGTAGGGCAGGAGGGGGCAGGGCAGCTTCCAAGGCGGACGTACTTGAAGAGCAGAATGTGCGGCTCCGGTTCGTGAACTTCGTAGTGCTCCCAGCCGAGACTCTGCAAAAAGAGCGGGTTAGCACCTGCCATACGCTGTCCGTGTCTGTCCGCCGGTCGCGTCTCCACAGTTTCGTGTGGCCGGCGCGTTTTGACGCGTTGCGTACCTGGGTGATGCCCATTGACCGCCACTCGTCCTCCCAGAGCAGCTTCAGTGTTCCCTTTGAGGAGTCGTGGTACTCCTTTGGTATGGCCTTCAGCATGGCCTTTGGCAACTGCACATGTCGGTATTCGAATTCGCTGTCCGAGTACCTGGCGTATGAGGATCTTGTCAGTGAGGGCCGGGAAGGAGGCGCTGGCACCGAAGTGGTGGCGCGACTGACCGAGAAGAGTAGTGGATCGACTCAAGAAACTCCTCCAAGCGCGCTCGCTCGTTGTCTGTCAATGGACGCGGCTTGACATTGCGACGCGACGTGTCGATGCCCATGTCGTAGCCGGATGACATTCTGCCGGCCGTGCTGTGATGGAGAGCGAGTCCTGGTGGTGGTGGAGGCGCGAAAGGGAGGGGGGTTGTCGCAACAGTCGGGAGCGCAAAGAGACGTAGGGGATTGGTCTGGTTGCTTGGCACGGGGGGTGCAGGCGAAATGGTCGGGAAGGATATGACGCTTTTGTTTACTCCCGGGTGCTAATATTATGTACGTAGGCCATGTAGACTACTCGGAACTGGTAGCATGCGGAGGGGAAGAGCAGGGAGGGCAGTCGCATTGGCTACACACACAAGTCCACTTGGAAGTTAGTGCACTGAGTTTCCCCCCTTGGCCCCCTCGGTGCAGTGCAGAGGGTGCAGAGGGCGTGGCGTGTACGATACAGCGCCTACCTAGGTAGCCAAGTACCTAGGTACCTAGTAGATCCTGCAGCAGGTACCGATGCTGCTGGGAGTATGAAACTCTCTAACCCGTATGAGAAGATATATCGCACTGTAAACAGTGCGAGCAAGTTAGGGGATTCAGGGTATGTATTGCTTAAATAGGTTTAAATCTACCTTTAGAGCTAAAAATTGCTTATTTAGGGCCCTTAAGGGCTAAACGCCCCTGCCTGCATTATATAAACCCCCTTTTTCTAATAATGAAACCCCAAGCCTAAATCATAACAATACTATTGCAAACATACATACTCCCCATCCCTAATTTACTCTTATTAATAAACTAAAAAACGGGTTAATATTAATTTAAGTTATAGGTTATTGCATTTGCCGTATTAAAATAAAATAAAAACCTATATTGCTATATTAGCTTTTATAGGTGCCCGCTTTAAATTAAGTCTTTAATAGTAATGAATGAATGTTAATAATTATCCTTATTTTAATTTTTCTTAAAAAAAAAATAATTATAAAGAGTTATATTATTATAAAAGGCTGCAAAATCTTTCTTTGGATTTTTCTTTATTATTATAGCCCCTTATTAACCCCTTTATAACTTTAAAATTATATTAAATACTGCATTAAGTTAACAAACTTAATATAGCGTTTTTAGTTTATTATTAACTCCCTAATTAAGGCAGTATTCTTAAAGAGCTATAAGCTTGCCTATTTTTATTTATTTTATTATGCTTAATAGTAATTAAGGTAATGATAGGATATTAAATGCAGATTTAAATAAAGATTAAGTTATTTTTACTATTTTTATCTCTTAATTTTAAAGTTCCATTCTTATTAATTATATAATTAATTAATATATCTTTTTAATTAATGCTTTAATTATCTTAATTATTATCATTATTATTTAAATTAAATTTCTCCCTAAGGTTATTATTAATTAGGTTAACTATATTCTTTGCATTTAAGTTATTTTATTAAAGCTAATTTACCTTTTTAATATATTACTAAGTCGCGGTTATAAGGTCCTCCCTTAGGCAATGCATTCCTTATATAATAATCTTTATTATTTACTTTATTTCTTTAACTTAGCTTCCTCTTTATTTTAATTTATATAAGGCTTTTTTTAAATTACCTTTTTAATTAAAATAGCGCAGAAAAATACTTATTCTTATCTTTTTCTTTGCAGCTTCCTTATTTTAAATTAATAAGGTTTTCTTTTTATAAAGCTTAATAATAATTAAATTTAAGTAGTCCTAAAGAAAAGATTTAATATTTAAATAATAACCCCCTTTATTAATTCCTTAATTAAATTTCTAAAAAACGCTTAAAATGTTATCTTTAGCTATAATTAGGTATAAGAATTAAGGGCTTAGTAAGTTAAGGTTTCTCTTAATAGCTTGCTAAAGGTTATTTAGGATTCCCTCCCCTTAGGCTTAAGTAATATAGTTTTTAATTTAATTTCTTAAAAAAGCATATAGCCTTTTCTTATTGCCGTTTCCCATAAAATAGTAAAGAAAACCCTGGTTTACTAGGCGGTCTTTGTAGTTTGGGTTAACAATAGGTATATGGTTTTTTAAGTTTTAAATTTCTTAGGTAATTTTCATTATTAAGTTAGCTAAATTTATAAGGGTTCTTAATTGCTTAGTATAATATTATAGGACTTAATAAACTAAAAGTTTTATATTATTAATTACTTATAACTATCCCGGCTAATTAATTTTCTTATTGCTTATCGCCATTAAAAGTAAAGTGCATAATAAAGTTTTGGATTTTGGTTTGTAAGGCATTAAATATTTAATGCTTTAAGCAAACCTTTATTAATGCTTATCTTATGCAAAAATATTAAGAGGAATTTATTTTAAATCCCTTGCATTTGCATTATTATCTTTTATAAACAACTTGCTTATAATTTTAATTATAAACTAGCCGTTTATATCTTTCTATTTAATTCTTTAATAAATAATATAAGGGTTTTAAAGATTATGTTTTTAGCAATCCTCTTGCTTTTCTTTAAACCTATCCTCCCCTTTAAATAATCATTAATTTAAGGCTTAGTGCTTTTAATTAAATAAGGTTTCTTAAGACTTAATATTTTAACGGCCTGCTTTATAAATAATTTGTTTAAACTCTATATTTATTAAGTAATCCTCCCTATTAAATATTAGGCTTAAGTTAGGCTTAAGTAAATTTTTAGCGCCTTATTTTCTTAAGAAGTTTGTAATTTGGTTAAATTGCCTCCCTTGTTTATTGGTAGCGGTTATTAAAGCAATGCTTAGCAATGCATGCTTGGTTTTCTTTTATTATTAGCATAAAGGCTAGTAACTAGGTTTTATAATTTAATTATATATATTTAGTAATAACTTTAATTAATCTTATACTTATAGTGGGATATTTTTTAGCAATTAAGCTTATAATAGTAACCTAAGGTAATCTTAAATATAGGTTGGTAAGTATGCTTGGCCCGTTTTAAGTATTTTTAAAATGCTAAAGGGAACTGCTTTTTATCCTTTTTAAGTATTAACCGTAATATATCTTTTCTGCTTAAGATGTTAGGGTAGGTAATTAAGCCATTTTGGGTTGGGTTCCATCTATATCTTCTCTTTCTTATTTATATGCTTTTTAGCGGGGTAAATAATGCCTCTTAATTAATGCATCCTTGCCTTTTAAACCTTATTTTTTTCCTTATTGAAATTCTTTGCAAATTTAAGTCTTAAACTTTTATTATTATTATTAAGCGGGTTACCCTTATTATTTAGGTTATTTAGGTTGGGATTTTAAGCTAGCATATCCCTCCGCTTAGCACTTTTATTACTTTATCTATCCTTAATAATTTTGCTTTTTTAGTTAGCAAAGCTAATTAAAATATTAAAATTAGGAGTGGAACTTTCTATAAATAAAGTCTTTTCTGCTCCTTAGTTAAATAATAATACTGCCTCCTATATATTATCCCCTTTATTTAAATTCTTATCTTAAAGCTATATAGCTAGAATATTATTTAGGTTTAGTTTTCTCATTAACTCTATATATATATCTTAATCTTTATATAATATGCTTTTTAATAATCTTATTTAATGCTTTACCTTATTATTATTAAAATCCATTATTATTATATTTTAATTATAAAGTTAATTATTAAGGTATAAGATAATATTTATAATTTATTTATTTTAGCTTGCTATTTAACGTTAAAATGCTTATCATTAATTATAATTATATTTAAAATCTAAACTAATAATTAATTTATAATATCCCGCTACTTCCTTATAATATAGGATTTATATAATATAGTTTAAGTCCTGGCCTTTACTTTCCTCTTCATTATTATATAAAGTAATTAAGGGTTAGCCTTGTAAGCTATAAGGGCATATCATGCTAATTTAAATAATTTCATTTAAAAGCCTATAAGTTACCTTATTTATAAAAACCGTTGCTTAATTAATATAAAAATTATATTAAGTATTTATATCTTAAATAATATTAGCATTTTAGCTTAATTAAATATAAGATTTAAAAAGCTAAATTAAGGTAAGAGCTTGCTTTTTAAACTTAAGGATTAAAGCTTAGTATATGGTAAAGAATAAATATTAATTCTTATAACTTGGAGTTAAGAGCGATTAATAACCCATTAAAAATTGCTTAATAAACTTCCTTATTGCATTAAATTATTTATATGCTTATTTAATTAAAAGGTTAAGCGTTTCCTATAAGCGCTCCTTAAACTTCTTCCTCCTTAAGATAATAAACTTAAAGATAAGGAATTTTTAATTAATATTCCTTAAACTTTTTTAAATAATTTATTTAAACCCCTTTATTATATTATAATTTTGCATTTTATAAATAATTTTATTAATTAAGCTTAAATTTATATTATTTATCTTTAGCTTTAAATAGCTTGCCTTAACCCTAATTATAAGTTTAGCTTAAATACATAATAAATTTAAGTTTACTATATAGGCAATTTAAGTAAACTTTATATTTATAAGGAACTTATTTAGCAGCTTAACCTTAGTTATTGCCTTTTTTAATGTTGCTCTTTGCATTTTTGTTGGTTTTAGGTCTTTAAAGGTTTTCTTTAGGTAATAAGTGCATTGGCATTATTCCTTATCTTTTGGCTTTAAGCGTCTTTTCTTTTTTTAAGCAGGAGTTAAGGCTTAAATGGACTTTTTTAGGGTTAAAATGGGTTTATAAGTAGGCTTTGCTAAGGGTATGGCTTAGGTTAAATTATTATGGATTTTATGCAGTATGAAATTTTATGCTTCCGGCTTGCTGCTATCTTAAGCTTAAGCCTCCTTTAGCTTTTTTTAGTATTAATCTTAAAGATATTATGTAATAGCAAAGTAGGTTAAGCCCAGCATATATGATTTTTATAGCTAATGTCTTGCTTATACCTGGAATTTATAGTTTAAAGTATCCTTAGTTAATTTAAGGTTCTACGTGGCTAAGGTAAAGTTAAGGTATTAATTTTTATAACTCCTTTATAAAATAAGCTTAATATACTTAAGTTTATAAAAACTTTTTAATTTAATTATAATAAGCTTATGCTTAAACTTTACATAAAGGCTTTGCTTTTCTTTATTCTTATTAAAGTCCTTTAGCTTTATTAACTAAGCCTTCTTTTTGCTTAGGCT